CACCAACAGGGATCGAACCCGCGATCCAACGCGCTGGTCGCGGAACCTGAAGGTCGCGGGTTCGATCCCTGTTTGTGGGGTCATGGGTGCGCACTGCTGAGGAGTCCCATACTAGGACGAAACAGCTGTCCAGTGCTCCCAGGTTTCCTTTGTTCCTCCAACTGATGTCAGTCTTCGATGAATAACAATTTATGAATATCCCAAAATGCTTTATTTCAATAATTTTTCCTAACCTGAAGATAAAGTTGAATTAGATACCATAAAGAAGATTATAAGAAACGAAATTCCAACTGTATGAGACAATGAATTTAGTATCAGCATGTTTGTTGGCAATTTAATGCATAACAGTTGCTCTGCAAATAACCTGAAGTGACCTTTATGAAGGTTTGTTTTGGTTTGATTTTCTTACCCTTATAACAAAACTGGTTTTAAAATTTCCCTTTTTATCCAGATGTATTTACATTATTCTTTAATTCATAATTGCAAGCCAATAGGTGTGGATAAAATCTTCCCAGTTAGGTGGTTATCATTAGTGCTTGAGGTACTGAATTGCGCGCATATGTTGTGGGATTGTAGTAGACCAGTGATGAGAAAACAAGGACTAGCTACTCAACGCTTTTAATGCTAAGTGTGTTTTTAAACAGTCAAATCACCCAACTCTTCATAATCTTCTCAGTTCAAATCAATACCCCCTAATTTATTAGGAATAACTTTAAATTGGAGGGCAGGCAGAGTATTCAACGATGTATTTTTTGTATATGTTTATGTTCTCAATAGAAAACCTTTTTCCCAGTCAATTTTTGGTGAGATGTAATAGCAACTTTAATGTATAAACTAAACACTGAGTGTCTATATCCATCTAAGTGATTCGCAATGGAGTGCAGGACGTGCGCTTTGTCCCGTTTAAGACTTGTCAGCGGGATATACCTCCTCCCCAGTGAGTGATATTATTCGGTGTAAGACTCAAAAACCCACTATCTAACGTTTCAGACGCCAAAGCAGTAACTAAGTATTTTTCGTATCTACTTTTTTCATGAAATTTCCGTTAAATTTACTGTCATACTTGCCCTTAGTACGCCGTTCGACGCGAATCTTATGTGATGATATTGAAAACCACTTGAAAAATAGATTCTACTATGAGAGACTGTTTGAAACTCTTCATGTTATTTATGTATTGTGAAAGAAATACAGTGTAACTTAGGAAATCAATTATAAGTTTGTGCATCTTTTTGTTATGTAACTATGTCAGTCTAAACTTGAGAAAATGTTGTAGATTTGGAAATTGCAATCGATCACCTGAAAATTGAGGGCGTAGACCGATATTGTACGATATTACAATAGATCCCATGAGGGTATTGAAAGGGTATTTTGGACATTATTATTTATCGTTAATTTATTCAGATTACATCTATTCAAACATCTGAATCAATAAAATTGGAATACTTTGTATAATATCACATTTTGAGGTATATTTTCAAAAATTTTCAGGCAAGACAGCCTATGTAAAAGTAAAAACCATGTAATTTCAATTCATCTGAGATAAATCTAAGAGATACTAAACTAGATAATATTCTAGAAGACTTTGGAAACTAAATGGCATAAATATCTTCAAGCATGAACTGAATTAAACCTTGAAATTTCGCCGAAAACTGAATTACAAGTTATTATTTCATTTTTCTTATATTTATAGTTTATTTGAGTAGAATATTTCCATTTATTTCGACTTACTGATTCCCTATACTATTGTTCACTATATTTTGACATTATTTAGTAATAGTAACCTGAATAATACAGAATGTACTTATCATGCTATCTAGAGAAGATTAATTGAATGAGTCGGTATTCAAGTGAGTGTCAGTTAGTTCATTTATTATCAAAAATACGTAACTTCCATATAGACAATCAGATGCTTACACTTGAAAACATTGGTGTTTATGAAGGGTAGGATCAGTGTGTCATGACATACTTGTACTTGGTTTCTTTAGATATATTATACAAATCATAACGAACTTGGTTACTACTAAAGTATACGTTACTGAAATACAAGTACGGTGCGTTTTGTTTTACACTATTTCTCGTAATTGTTCAAAACATTTTATTAATGTTTTCCAAATGACTAAAGAGATTTTAACCGTGCCATGAATAAAATATAGCTTAAAGATGTATACTTCGTATGTGATGTCGTTCATTTCTAAAAGTATGAAGGTGATGACATAAGAAGGGCACCTCAAGTTGTTTCATTTCGGATTTAAAAACTGTCAATAACCTCACTACTTGTGCAATTAAACAATTATTCTTTTAGTTAACTGAGATAGCCATGTTTTGGCAGACTTTTATTGATACTGGGTGATAATTGAAGGTGAAATGAACATTTTGACCACGGCCACATTCGAACCAGTAACCACTGGGTTTCTTACTTGGTTGCCTACCAGCTGAAATACAAGGTCCAACTGCTGACCAGACTTTTATTTCACTTCAATCACCAAAACTTTTACCTGATTACCATGTGAACGCATGAAGCGTTACTACTGCTCAGTCGTATTCACACTGGCTGCCTAGTCAGGACTTCTCATTCCAACCCAAATGTAACTGAATCAGAGAGAGGGAGCATCATATTGATTATCATTTCCACTATCTGAGATAGCCGTAGTTGAAGCAAAGTGAAAATTTGGTTAGCATTTGGACCTCATGGTTGAGTTTTGGACTGGAAACCCGGTCGTGACCGGTAAGAATCCAACCGTGGTCTAGATTTTCATCTCATCTTCTGTCACCACCCAATATCAATCAAACAATCCCCCAGATATGGAAAACGCATGCAAAAAATGGTGTAGACAGCATTATCTTCATGGCATTCTATCCTCAAAACAAATCACCATCATTTAACAATAGTTCTGGGTAATGTAGTTCTGATTAATGATGGATAGTGGCTTGCAATGGAATTCAGAATACGTATTTCGTCCTATCTCGGACTTGTCAGCTGGATGTAACTGCCTCCCAGTGAGTGATGTTGTTCCCACCGGAACTTAAACTCGGGGCAGATTGCTTCAAACGCCAGGGAGTTATCTGCTTGACCACCGAGTCACGATAGCCGCTTCTTATATGACAGGTACAGTTTAAATGTTGTTGCTCGTATTATCCCATCGTTACTTGAACTGAATTTATCGGTCTCTATAAGCATGTGTGATCATTTCCGGGTTTCAGTCTCTATAGGAACAACATAGGAACAACGCAGATACATACTGCTGAAGAGTCCCAGATAGGACGAAGCGCACGTCCTGGATTCCACTAACTAAGCACTATTCATCAATAATACATAATTAAATGCAGACAATGTTGAGGCATCCGCACAGGAGCCAGTATGCCAGCAGAGACCGATTAATTCGGTTCAGCCAATGATAGGATAATACAAGCAACAACACTAAAGTATTTTCTTATTTCTCAGGATTTCGAATCCAATTTCAATCAGCATTTGCGTTTTGCATGCTCGCCACAGCACCTCATCTAAATTGTCTGTTGTGTTGTACACCCTTAAATGTCAGTGAAGTGTTTCAGTAGGCTTTAAAAATTGACTCTTTTAAAGCTTTGTAACTTATTATTTCAACGCAAGAAACAAAAACCTAATTCATCTGTAGTGTATGAGTAAGCCGTTAGCACGATGACAGCGTAAAAATCAATATTAGATTGTTTTTACGATACGGTATACAGTATTATTTACTGGATGGCATTCTGAGCTGCATTTAAGGCATATATCAGAGTAGTCATGTAACTAAACAGTTTCATTTTTATGGTCTAACTGCTCCTTTTTCTTCATTAAGTCTATGCATAACTGGTAACAATGCTAAGAATGCCGTGGCATTTAGGCTACAAAGCTTAGTCGGAGAGAAATATTAAAGGCTAGGAGATGAATAAAACACAAGGAAGCAAAAAAACTTAACAAATACCATTTCAAGATTGTGAGGTCAAGTACACAGGCTAAAGAGGCCGAATGGGATCATTCAGGGTAAAGTGGGATGAAAATCTAGGAAAATCTAAAATAATAGACCACGTTAAGACAGGGAATTAAAAGGAGGAATGGGTTGTCATTGTATATCCTCTGATTCATAATCTTCTTTTACTGCGGGATGGGGCAACTGATAAGTAGAAGGAGAGATTGGCTATCAAATCATTGTTCATCGACTCAACAGCCAATACCTGTAACAAAAATGATTCATTACATACAGTAGATATTTTAGAAAAATTTACTAACAGAAAATTAAAAGAAGGGAGACTTATTCGACTATAAAAGTGAGGTTTGAAAAGTGTGTGATTCCTTTGATGTGATTATGAGGAGTGAATTCTACTCCAAATGTTATCCAGTGAATGATGTGCTTTTTCAAATAAACAATCATAAGATATATTGAATTTTAAAAAAAGTTGTGGAGCTAACAGAAGTTGGAAATATGGACCATTGGATTCTGATTCAGTGGCTCAATGGTAACACGCTGGCAGAGGAACCTGAAGGTCGTGGGTTGGACTCCTGGCGGGGTCGTAGGTGCGCACTGCTGAGGAGTTCCATACTGGGACAAAACGGCTGTGCAATGCTCCCAGGTTTCTTTTGTTCCTCTAACTGATGTCATTCTACGATGAATAACAACTTGACATAAGATATATATGAAATTAACTGATCTGCCTTTGTACCATTCTGGAACTTTTTATGTAGACTGAACTTTCTGTTTACTTCCCAATCAAAGGAAAAAGATTCATTTATTCATCTTGTGCTAAATGATGAAGAAAATCACTTTGTTCCCATACTAGTTTACTGCACTCATTGTTTCTGTGCACACATCATTCTACTGTCCAACCAATCATAGGTCATTTGAAGTTAAAAGTATTATTATTTGTGGTTTACTGCATATATTTGCATTTGCGTGTTCACATATTTGAATTTCTTCCTATTTATTGCCTACATAAAGTGTATAGAGTGTCCCAATAGAATTGCGTTTATTTTAATCTAATATATCCTGGGGTATGGTTGACATTTTTGAGGGTAAAACAGTAGAAACATTGTAAGAGGGATGAATGAAACCTAATCACTGTTAGCTATTATGAATATGATTGAAGAATAAAAAAAGTGAAATATTTAGATTGGAAGAAGTATAAGCTGATATTAAATTGTATCCTACATTTAAGATCATATATGGCATTATTGTTATTATTAGTAAAAATGTGTCGTGGGCACAAAATGTTATCTATACACAAGAATACAATTATCAGTGTTAACAAACTAGATAATACTTCACATAATATTTACCAATTCGTTTTACTGTTAACTGCCTATTTCTCAAATTCATCTGATATACTTTCAATATGTTAACAATAAACTTATATATCCTAAAAGAAATTAACTGATAACCACTATACAAATGAAATTATACAAGTAAATAAAATCTTTGAATATTGTTGATTAAGTGATTATTGAGCTAATTGAAGTAATCCAGTTCGAATAACAAAATAATTAAATAGATATAGCATAAAACAATTGTAAACATCTTTCTGGCTGAATTCAATACAGAAAGGAAATAAAACTGATAGAAAATTAAACATATTATTTTTCAAAACCATCTTCATAGTAGTTGAACAAGAATAAATAAGTATGTCCATTGCATCATTTCATTTATTGAGGATATTCGGTTATTTTCTGTTTCTATTAGGTGAGTTGTATCAATAGAAATTCATTTATACTTGATGATTTATGTTATCATAATCATATTTTATGTTAATTACTAAACATGTGAACGCTTATGTATTTATTTATTTGTCCCTTGGGTTCCTAATGGAACATAGAGATTCAGTATCACGTCTCAATTCAACTCTACTCTCTGAAATATTTTCAACCTGGTCCCACGACAACCCACAACCTCTCATTTCTTCCTCACACCATCTCATCCATGTCACCCTCACCTAACACGCCCAACTCCTCATTTCCCATCTGACTTTCACTCAACCAACTGGCCTGACGCATGACGTCCCAAATCGGTCTTCTCACTTAATGCCCAATACAATCCATCTACACTTACCCATTCTGCACATTTGTTGAACGATGGCTTCTTACTTTGTTGGTTCGTTGCCAGATAGACACAGCTCCTTCTTCCTCATTATTTCTCACCATCTGATCTTCAGTGACGAGCCAGCATACGCACTTCTTCATCAATGTCTGTAGTTTGTTGGAAATCCCTTTCGTAACACGCAAAGTCTCTCAACCATACACAAGCACTCACTTGACTGACTTTGGTGTTGAAAATCCGCATCTTGTTCCACATGCTGAGTGCAGTGAAACAGATCTCCACACTGATTTCAGGTTAATCAACGCCTGTCTTGCTATCGTTTCGAATCTGGTTGCTTTGATATCCTCATCTGTGCCTGTGCCTGTGCCTGTAGTTGAAACAGTGTTACTCTGCCTAGATAGGTGAAAGTGACTACTTACTTTAAGTTTCTCCCCTTCATGGTGATTGGAGCATATTGTTGTTGTTGTTGGTGTTGCTGTTGATTGGGTATCTTCATCACCTGTGTCTTCTCTACATTCACTTGAAGTCCTGTTTTTGCTGCCGTACCTCTTCTGTCAACTTGTTAGTTTTCGCCTGTAGATCTTCAAGTTTGTGCCACATGACATCGGACACAATTCATCGGCGGTGAAACCCAAATATTCCAGCTTCTTTTCCGTTGTCCACCACACTACCTCTTCTCGCTCCCCACTGTTTGTTGCATGACCAAGTCCAGTTGACCACAATCAGCAAGATTATGGGTGACATTAGACAGCCTTGTCTCAATCCTGTCCACTTTCTTCACTTCAGAAGTATCACTGAGCTTTCCATTGTGAATTACTTGGCATGTGGCATCGGCATTTAGTTGTTGAATGAGGTTGATAAAGGTTTGTGGTATTCCGTAGTGTTGAAGGAGTTTCCAAATTGTTTCTCGATCGACGTTGTCAAAGGCCCTTTCAAAATCGATGAAGCTGAGGTGGAGGGTGGACTGCTTTTCTATACTGTGTTCAATGATAATGCATAGTGTAGCGTTGCAATTTGGTCCGCATATGATTTTTACTTCCTGAAGCCTGCCTGCTCCGGTCGTAGTTTTGAATCCAAAACTCATGACCTTCGGAAAGTTATATTCTGTTTATTTGACCATAATATAAAAGTGTTCCAGGAGAATATTAACGGATTGCTGGTGTTTAGTTGATACGCTTTAAATATTTATTTTCTAATTTCCTGAAAAAATAAAAGTCTTATTTACCCTAATGTTGTATGAGTATACTGACCATATGATACTAGTTCTGATATAAGATGACATGTATTGGAATAAGGGTACCGAATTTGTTGGGTCAATTATTATCATAACTAACACAACATCTGTAATAACCGGCCTAAAATAGTTGTCTACCTGGTTAACGAAATTACCATAGGTAATATTTTTCTTCATTTTTTCTGAAATATAATTTAAAACAGCCTACAGGCACCGATATCTCTTGTCCGTCACAACCTGAAAGTAGCGAGATGTACCCGTTTATTCATGAATAAGAACAAGACATGTATCAGGTAAGAAGAAATATTTCCTGTTTTCAACAACTTCATCATATCAAGCTGTACACCGGTCATTGTTATACTCCGTAAAAAATGACAGATAACTACCATAAAAAGAGACTTGCTCAAACAATATGCAAAATATACAATCAGTGTAGATGGTCAGGTGGTATTTATTCAAGTGGAAGAGATAGGAAATGGGCCAATATGAATAAGGAACGAATTGATAACAGATGGTGAGATAAGAGATAAATGTAGTCAAAGAATTGTAAAACGGTGACAATTTAGCGGAACACTACCCGGCTTAGCTTATCAGAGGCGAGCAAACGAAAACGACTTCGTCCATATGTGAACACCTTGTTGAATTGGGACACTCAGCACCTCGAGATTCATCCTTTAAAATAATTTACAAAGTTAAATTGAACAACTCCAAACGTTTACGTTTCCACCACTCACGCATTAGCTATACATGAGCAAAAACTGAAAATTTGCATTCAAAAACATTTTGTGAAACCACTTTCTCCACCTTGGATTTGACAATTCATTCTTCGTTACTTTTGTCAATTTTCACTTCACTTTAGTATACTTCTCCTTTATTATCATTATCATCATCACCAATTATTCACTTCATTGACAACATATCACCCATATCTCACTATTTTATATCAATTCATTCCTTATTCATTGACCTATTTTGTATGTTTGAGTTCAATTATCACCGTTGTACAATTGTATGACTATACATGTCTCTTATCTCACCATCTGTTATCAATTCGTTCCTTATTCATATTGGCCCATTTCCTATCTCTTCCACTTGAATAAATACCACCTGACCACCTATACTGATTGTATATTTTGCATGTTGTTTGAGCAAGTCTCTGTTCAGTGCAATTATGTGTCGTTTTTTTTTACTCAGTATAACAACGACTGGTGTACAGGTTGATATAATGAAGTTGTTGAAAACAGGAAATATTTCTTCTTAGCTGATACACGCCTCGCTCTTGTTAACAACCTAAAATGTTAATAAGTGGTAACTCAATTATCAATCGAGTATACTAGATATGAATTTATTTTATACGACATTTGAATTCTGAAGAAAACTTGAGACGAATGTTATACAATTAGTTAAGCTTTACTAATGCATCATTTTTTTGAGTATTATAGATGTATGACTTTATTACTTGTATGCTGTCTCTTATAAACAAAAATATGTCATCTTCAAGTCAAATATTTCATGAGATTGCTTACACCTGATGGCAACATGTTCAGTAAAGTTTTCTGATTAAAAACAACAACTAATTACAGAGAATCTATAATAGTGGTGATAAACGGAAACAAACAAGTTAATATTTAAAATAAGTGCTAACCACTTGCCCTCATTTTACGTAAGTGCTAAAAGAGGGATTTTTATAATTATTTGTCCGTTGGATTCCTAGTGGAGGATAAGGCTTAACAGCCTGTCACTATTTCACTCCATCTCTGCAGTTTTTTCAACTTGGCTCCACCACTACCCATAAGTTTTCATTTCTTACGCATGCCATTTCCTCCATGTCATCCTTGGATTCTCAACTCGTCGTTTCCCATTCGGATTCCACTCGACGGTGTTGCCTGGACTGACGCATGATGTTCGCAAATGGTCTTCTCAGACTATGTTCAATCCAATCCATCTTCACTTTCTTCTGCATATTCGTTTGGTGGGAAGAGAGGAGAGGGGGGACGGAAGAGAAAATATATTCAGGACAAGTTAACTGTGTATTGTCACCCTCTATGGATATAAACGTGTGTGGCTTTTGAAATGTAGTCTGCATGGAAAACCTTAAGAAGCGTTTTATGTTGCTCATTAAAATTAGTTCCTAAATGTCGTTCTATTTATTACCCCTGCACATAATTATTGTAGGTATTGTTTAGAGTTTGTAATAAAGTCGGGTTGTTTTTGGTTTACTTAGAACCACAGTTTATTCATATCCATGTGCTAACTATTTGAGATGCATGTATTGCACTTTGGCGAATTTTCTTGCCTTTCTGTCAAATACTGAAATAATTAACCTCTAAAATGTAATATTGTACAATAACTTCCCGTTTGGTTCAACAAAACCTATTTATTCACCTTAAAGGTTTGCAGTGACTTACTTATTGATTCGAAGTTAGAATTCATTATGGATTGACAACGGGTGAAGAACCACTGAAAATCTAAGAGCACTGTATAACTTCATCGTCATGGCATACGACTCCTCAGCAGCATGGACTCATCATCTTTGCACTATCAGAGATCAAATGCAGGACCTTCACATCATGGGACGAGCACCTTATCATTCAGCCACTGTATCAGAATTCAATGGTGGATATTTCTTGCTTTTATCAGTTTATCATTGGTGGAGGTTTAATTACATTATGAACTAACACGAGGTCATGAGTTAGCGCTATTGAAGAGTTGTGTACTTGGACGAAACAGTTATTCAGAGCTCCTAAGTCTTCATTGGTTTTTCCAATGGTTGTTAATCCATGATGAGTATCAACTGAATAAACAGGGACAGAAGTTAGATATTGTGGGATATGTTGAAAATAAAAATAAAACGTCATAATTATTCGTATTCAATAAGATACATTTTCATCAGTAGATATGACTAGCAAAAAAAGTGCAAACTAGTAATAAGATAGTAAAGTACAACTATTAATTGTCTGAAATACATTTTCAATCTATTGTTTATTTGTAATTATCAATTCTTAAGGGGATAAAAATACTTTTCTCTTAAAATACAAAATATTTATAAATGAAAATTTTTATAACTTTTTTTCATTAAAACATTTAAATTAATAAATTCTATTCTTAAGAATGATATACAAATCAGTCAAGTGTTAGTAAATTTATTTAACATTCAAAGTATTTTACTCATTTAAAAATATTCTAATGTAAATCTTTTACGATAATTAATTTTTCTTCATCAGTCTCATTTATATAAATTCAAAAACTTTCCTTTAAAAAAATAACATTTCATGTATACTTATACAATTCAATTTAATTCATCTTTGACTTCATTTCATTGATGAAATATAAACTCAATTTTATTTCTTTTAATTTTAGACATTCATTCTTTATTTTATTGTATGTTTTTTTCTTTTTTTTTTTTGCGTTT